CTAAACCCTAAACCCTGAACCCGCTCAAGAAACCTTTGGTTTCGGTTGGATTTCTTCTTTCTCTAGCCAGGCAGGCAACTATAGTAATTTAGGGGCCTGAATGATTACCCATGCTATGTTGGGGGTTCCGTATTACAATGATAGCTTATGGGCCCCGAAACCCTATTCTAATCATTTAGGCCCCTACATTAGCCTTATGAGAACAGTATTCCTCTGGGTTCCTGCATGTTTATGCTTGTTCTATAAACGACACCAACGCCCCATGATAGCTATTAAAGTTCCTACAGTACTTGACTCGACTCTCCCTCTGTTCCGTTTCCTCCCTTTAATAACACGAGCAGATGACATGGAAACGCAGCCCTAAACCCCAAACCCCAAACCCCAAACCCTAAACCCTAAACCCTAAACCCTAAACCCTAAGCCCCTTACACCCTAACCCAAACCCTGAGCCCAGAGGCCTCAATGCTAAGATTTCAGAGGCGAGCTTGTCCCGAAACGCTAAGCCCCAAACTCTAAACTCGAAGCCCGAAACCCGCCGCAAACCCGAAAGCCGCCCTAAACCCTCAACCCTAAACTCGCTCTCTCTCCCTCTCTCTCTCTCTCTATTTCTCTCTTGCAAAATTTTAGCCTTTCATTCCCTAAGCTCTACCTACAGCCGAAGCTGTGAGGCTTTAGGGGTTTAGGGTTCGGGGGCCCAGGGCTTTAGGGCTTCATGTGGGGGCTTAAACAATTACCCATACTATTTTGGGGGTTCCTTGTTCTATTTTTGGTATAATGGGCCCCAAAACCCTATTCGAATCATGAAGGTCCCTACCGTAAACCCTAAACCCTAGATCAGGGGCTTTAGGGTTTCAAGGTGTTCAGGGCTCTGGGGTTTGGGGTCCAGTACGGTGCAGGTGCTGGAGGTTAGAGCATCGGGATGCTTTTTCTGCTCAGAGGATCTCTGGTCTTTTTGGGAAGAGGGTTTATGGGAAAGGTTTTAGGGCAAAGAGTTTAGGGTTCAGGGTATACTTAGGGAATGGGTATGGTTTTATGCATCAAGGTAGGAACTTGCGACACGGCGCCATAGATGTTGTGTCCCGCAACTTCAACTCTGAGTTGCGGATCAGGGGACCGAGCAACCACGGTTCTTTGTACCTCAGCGGGTGTACACATGATGATTGCCATAGTTAGGCTATATGGATGCATGGAGGCTTTGGAGGGAAGAGGAATTCTGCCTTGTAGTTATTCTTACTGATAAATCTGCTTATGAAGAACCCTAAATCCTAAACCCTACTTATGAAGTCCCCTGATCCTGCATCTATACATGGATGAAGCTATAATCCGGCTGAAGGGGAAGACACATAAGGGAGAGTCGACCTTACCCCCAAAGCCATAAGCCCCTTAAATACAATCCTTACTGAACCTCCTGAAGCTCCTTCAGACACACTTACATAAAGTGGAAAAAGCTCTCACAATAAAGCGGAATGTAGGGGTCTGAATACCCTTGTTCTATATGGTTTCTTGGTACATGGGTAGTTCTCTGAATTGGGGTCGCTTTTAGGGTTTTTTTATTGGGGACCTAGAGAACTACCCATATGATGCCATATATGTATGCTCAAGAGCTCTTTTTAACCCAAAAGAGCCTGGGCTGCAGGCATGGAGGCCTTTCTCCCAGAGCTGAACGCCTTCCTCCAGTCGGGTGGCGCGGACATCAAGGATGTCCACAAGGCTGCACAGAGATCCCCTGAGCACTAGACCCTAAACCCTAAACTCTAAACCCTAGACCCCGCAGGGCAGAGATGGGATCCCAAACTGCATGTACACTGGTACAAATGTGCTTAACCATAGTCGCAGCAAAAAAGCAGCAACAGCAAAAA